ACATATGCAGAAGGAGGAAGAAAGGTCTATTTCTGTAATGAACTCAGCATGAACAAGATTTTGCTCCATGAGGAGTCTAATTGCCTCTAGTCAGTCCACAGATTCATTACAGCAAAAAAGTCCCAGTGAACCAAATAACTAGTCCATTCAGAATGTGATGTTCAGGTAAAGCTGTATAAAAAGTTCATAAACGCACGAAAACCTTGTCTTTGAATCAAGAAAATGTTCCAGACTTGTATGTCTGCGGTGGAACAGTAAGACAATAAAAAAGTCTCTCTGAGTAATACAAAAGCCCAAGCCCTCCACTTAACAGCTTCCTAATAATCCACTTTAAGATTGTTTATTATTATTTCTATGGTTTGTTTAATCAATCATTAGAATATCAGACAATATTTGCCTCTGTTATCCAAAATACATGACTGTGCAGAGAGATGACAGAACCTTCCAGAACAACCTTTCAAGGACTACGAGCCGTGGACACAGATTTGCCTTCTGTTCCTCTCAAGTGATATGAAAGCCACACAGCACAACTGCCACAGCCTCTCTCTCCAAACCCAGGTTGTTCCCAGTCTGAGGACCTCCTGGTAAAGCACAGAAGCAGCGTTGATAACCATCTCTCATTTACAGCTTGCCTTCAGCTCTGACAGCACCTTTACACTGCACCCGGGAGAGACCCTCTCAAACACTGCATTTAAAATGTTCACAGATAAATACTCACATCTCTTTGAACTTGCTTTGGGAAGTCTTGAGAATACGTAATTTTCCAGCAAAACATAAACATATCAAGCAAACCAAGAGTTACCAGACTAGAGACACTGAGAAGTCACAGGATCCGGCCACAGAAAACTCCAACTCTCTCCACCCCGTTGCTATTTAGACTGGGCTTGTCTCTGCTCTGCCAAATCAATTTGATAATTATTATAATTATACACACAAGAAAAATCGCCTGCTCAAAAACTAACACAAAATGCTCATCTAAAGAAAGGAAACACAAGAGGTGAATCCAATACAAAATAATAAGTTTCCAATAAACAGTAACAAGCCTCTGGAATTAGAAATGCTTCATTCTACATTTAATTCAGAACACTTTTTACTTCCTAATAAGTATTGCCCTCACATTTCACCATCTCTCCATCTCTTCCAACAACCAAATACTCTGTGCAAGTTCTTTATCATCTCTGCACCTAATGCAGTTTGAAATTTGCTTGAAAATGCTTCTTACACTCTGCATAATTACAATACACCAGATCAAATATTTGAATTAAAAAAGTTGGGCCCCAGAAACATTTTCATCTATTTACCATGACATGGCTTCTGTCAAAGCCATTGGTATCGATACCACCTTAAATGTATATTCAGGTATGTGTAGAATTCCGAATTACAGATTTGATTAAGCAGCATAAAAAGATTACACTTCCATTGCTGTTATGCTAAGATAAATCAGACAAGCTTCTCTTTCTTAATATTTAAAGATACCAGGCTCCAGCTGGAGAAGCTTAAAGCTTTGCACTGCTTTTATCTATTTTAAAATCTTTCTGAACAACAGCCATCAATCCAGAGAAATATATTTTCTAAGTATTCTTTCATTCCTCAACAAAAGACAGGCATTGGGAAGGTACTTAAATCCATTAAGATGCATGTAGAGCAGCCTCTAGCAACTTCCAACCTATTTAAATAAGCAGACTTTTTCTATTTCCATACAAATATTCCAGTAGTTTAGTAAACATTTTGTAGCTCAGTAGGCATCAGTGTTTGTTAATCTCATACATAAAGCATAAATTCCAACCCTGCGAGGGCTCTGTGTGCTCCCAGGACTCTGCCCAGGCATGCAGACCACGGGCCAGACGTCTCCGTGGGATGATGATGTTCCTCCAAGTACAGGAGTCGGTTACCGTGTCCAAATGATTCACTTGCACCATCACCTCGCAAATTCTAATTTGATAATTACGGTGATTACCCATTAGCATCTCATCATTTTTTTGATGACACACAATGACTTGAGGCTAACTAGCATCTCAAGCTCAAATTTAACAAAAGTGCCATGAAAAGAGGGCCGATGGCAGAGGCCAGGAGGCACAAAGAGCTGAGTAAACAAAGAGATGTGCAACAGTTTTGGGACTCTCACAGGTTCATTCTGCTGAGAAGCCCCTGTTCAGAGATGGGGCAGGGCAGTGAGTGGGGTGGGACACACCCTCAGTCTGAGGGGCCAGGTCTGGGAGCACCATTCCCAGCTGTGCACATGGAACAGGCCACAGCCTTTGTCATCGCCACATCTCTTCCACCCAGGGAGTCACTCCCACAGTGAGAAGGTCAGCACCAACAATCCCAAGGTTTGAAGAGAATCCTTTATTACTCACGACAACAAACCACTGTACGTTTCATACTAATTAAATTCGCTTTGGAAAGGAAAAAGAAATCAAATAAATTTTTATATTGATTTATGTAACACGACTACAGAAGACAGAAAAGCTGAAGAGCTAAGTACAAAATGAATTTAAGAGTGGTTTTATTTACAGTTCGCCTCTAGATCAGCTTTCACTTGCATGATCACTGAAGCTCAGAGAATAGTCAACCAACCTGTTGCAGTTGAAACTCTTTTCTTCCATTCACCTTACAGGAGAAGATACTTAATCTCAACCAATTTATCTAATCTGCTTCATATGAACTGAGAACCTGCATTTCAGTACGCCTGAAATATTTCTTACTCCTTTAATGCTGAAATAGTTATTTTAGAAACATTAGCTGGTTATAGCACAGTAATATGATTCATTCAAAATAGCCATGGCCCATATATTTAAAATGTTCATTTTTTTATCATATAAAAAGATTGAAGTCATGTAATTCTCTCATGCATATGACCACATCATTCCATTAGAAACTTCTGTGGCTGTAGCAGAATTTCCATTTTCATGAAGGACTTTTATAAAAACTGTCATCTTCTCTCTAAAGTAAATTTTTGCATAAAAATGATGAATGTCTTAGAATCCATTAGAATTCAGACTGCTAAAAGAACTGTAAGTTATAAATTAAAACAAATTTTGTGAAACCATATAGAAGCCCTCTGCATCAAGACCTCCATGGTGGTTTATATGTGAAAGAATTCTTATGAGGATTAACTATAATTTGTATATTCTGCATTATATAAAAACTAAAATAGTTTTATTTTGCATTGTTCATGTCTTCTAAACTCCTTACTTTTATCTTCACCAATATTTCTCAGAAATAATGTATCTTATTCTGTTCACTTCCCCTCCCCCTCTTAAATATTGATGGGTAAAACTAACTTGGTGTTAGGACTTTTCTTTAGGATAGTTTGTAAACACCTCATACCTCCCTGAGATACACAGTACCTGAAACTGATAGTACTGCAAATGCTGAGTAATCTGGAAGATGCAATTGAAAAATTATTCTATACTGTGTGCTAAACAAAAGTTTCAGTTCACTTTTTAATTCAACTAGATGACCAGTTTACTACTAAACCATAGAAAACTGTTTTTATATGGCATCTGATTTCCGAATCACTGGCACTTAAAACTATCTTTTAATAATTTTTTTTTCATCTTTAATGTAAATACCAAGAATCATCAGCATTTACCTTCAAAAATGAAGCATCATACTGGCATCTATCAACAACAACTACCAAAAGAAAAACACAAAAAGTGACGTGAATCTAAAATTGCAGAGATAATTAATGTCAGGTATGGCTTGTTTCGGGATAACAGTACTCTGTTAGGGCTTGCAGGCCTCAGCAGAGGTAATTTGGGAATAGCAATGACAGCATAAACAAAGCACTGAGAAAGGTTTATGAGGGTGGAGTCCATATAAAACACTGGATTAAATCTCTTCTGTATCCTGCGGCTCCAAACTTTTGGAGGATGCAGCAGCAAACCCTGAGCACACAAACTACAGCAGACTTGGCTTCCAACCCCTCTTCCTCAACACGCGAGCCCCATCCAGTTATTAAAACTGAATGCACCGTTGTTCCCTATGAAATACTTGAAAACAAAGAACTAAAACACAAAGCCCATTCCCCTTCATGGAGTATTAACTTCCGCTTTTAATAACCAGCTCCTGGTCCCACACGACACAGCCCTGCATTGTCCAGCACACACCACTTCAGCCAGACAATGCTCCCAGCAATAAAACTCAGCCCGGCAAAGAAAGTGAAAGCTGCGTTTGTTCAGCGTGTTATTTGGCGCAGCCAACTGTAATGCTTCTGCCTGCCATTTATTGTTTACTCTCTCAAAGGATTATTAAGAATTAGGCTACATTTGGCGATTTTTTTTCGAGAGGGGAATTTACATGCAAAGTGACTGACACTTGATATTTAGAGTCTATTGGTCGACTCTGACCCTTCGTTTACAAGTGACTCATTTGACTGCAAGGATCTCTGATGTGGAAATGCTCAGATACGAATCAATTGCAGTTTTTGTCTCGGCTAAATGTTACTTGGCAATCCAAAAGAAATGAACAGTGCCGAGACCGAGGTTCACATAGAATAGTGCTCATATGTTTAAAGAATTCCTTTTACATGCCCGATTTAGTTCTAGTCGGAGGATTTATGACTCCCCTTCTCCTAATAACTTATCTCGGTGCACAGCGTTTCAAACACACACACACAGACACACACACACACAGACACAACCAGCAGTTAACTCTTTTGCTTCCTGAAAGAACAGCACGGATGTATTTAAGCAAATAATAAAACCAGGTTTGCTGCCGATGGGGCTTTTGATTCTCTGTAGGAGGTTGGGATAGGGGAAGGATAGGACGAGAAAGGGAGAGAAACATGTAGGTACAGTTTGCAAATCCCTGTTCCATAAAGAAACGATTGTGTTTGAGAAAAGACCATTCCTACATGAAATCAGCTCAGTGAGAATTCTGCAGTTTACCTCTGATAAGGATAAAAGTCAAAGGGTTTCTCTGTACCCCAGCGAGATTCCCTTCCTCTTAGAAGGCAGATGCAGCATTTCTATAAACAAAAATGTCTCTAGCCCTACCTTGTGCCACTGCTTGCAACATGTGGAGCTGAAGCAACAGAAACGCCCACCATCCCCGACAGAAGATGAAACAGAAGTTTAACTTTATCATCATTCCGCCTCGCCTGCTATTCCTTCGGGCAATAATTTCGCGATCCACCTTTCTTTCAACCGCTATTGCCTCACTGATCCCCATCGGATCCGACTGCCCGCCACTCCTGACAGCGCTTTGGTCATTGCTCATTCCGCCCCGCCGGGCCGGGCTCCCCGGGGTGGGTCGGGAGCCTCTGCCCCGCAGTCTGGGGGGAAGCGAAGCCCCCGCTTCCCAGGAACGGCGGGCTCTTTGATTTGTGCTCACTGTGCCTGCAAGCCGAGAGCTGCACTCCGGGTGCCTCCCGCTATGACAGTCGCCACCTAAGTCAATGTTTCTTGTGGAGGTATTGATTGCACCAAAACAACCAGTCAGAAATGTGAAACACATGTTCCTCTGCACTGTCACATCCGATGCCTTCAGCAGAGAGGGAGTAAGTTTATAGGCGTCAGTATTTCACTAAATCCGGATCCTTCAGCACATCGCAAACAGGAACAGGGAAAGACTGATCCATCGTAGCCACCAGCAGACAATCCATCGAGAACCTTTCATACCGCAACGCTGATGGAAACTGTTACCCCCGTGATTTTTATGAAGCGTGGTGAGTTTTCCAGCGTGTGTCCCATTCTCCTGTAAAAACCCTCCAATGGAAGTGTTAAATTCTCGCAGAAGGGAAAAAAAAAAAAGCGTCAAGGAAAAAAAAAACTAATTGAAAGTATCTCGTTATTCCTTGCGCTGAGGATTTATTTCAGACAATTTCAAGATTAGCCATGCAGACAGAGTAGTCTCCAGATATCCCCGCAAAGCTCTGCATAGTTTATATTAATCCGATTTTCCTTGGGATACAAATCTCTACCGTCAACAGAAGGGTTTGAAGGGTCCTCGAGCAGGTAAATTGAGCAGCTCTGGCTGTGATTCCAGCTCGCCGTGCAGTCAGTCGGCCACAGGCCAGTGCCGGTGTCACTTGAACTCTCACGTTCAGCCGGAGGTAGGGAAAACCTCAGTTGATCCCGTCTCCCTTCTCGGAGGCTTGGTGCCGCTCTCTTCCTCGCGGGAAGACCACGACAAAAATCACCTCTTAACATGGAAAAGCGGTTTTTTTTTTCAGGCCGCCTGTGGACGCAGCAAGGAAACAAACGCTCAGCTGGACAGTGTCCGGGGCGGGGGGGGGAGCGAAAATCTCCCGAAACAAACAGCAACAAGGTGAAATCCTTCTCGGCTCTGCTGAGCCCTCCGTGCTGATGCAGCCCAGGGATCCTGGTGGTGCTTCCTCCGAGCGTCTCTCGCTCACAGGCGCTGTAAACACAAGGGGGAAAGCGCGATCACAACAGCGGCAGCGGCGGCAATAAAACCCCACCAAAA